CATTATTACAAATAACTTCATTTCTGGACATTTATGGTTTGATTTCTTTGTATGTATGGATCACTTGGGTTGTTACCAACATCTGGTGAATATTTCATGTCATTAGCTCCTCTAATTTACTGAGAAAAAAGGTGACGTGTTCAATACTTATTTTACTCGCTGTATTTTGTTCATGTTGCTCACAGACGATTACAAATGAGTGTATTTGTTTTAGTTTTTTAGCACCATAACAATAAATAAATAAATAAAATTAAGGGCGTTAGTTTGTGTAATAAGGGGCAACGGTCATTCAGTAACTCCTTCTTCAGACGTCAGCCGCTTCAATCAGAGCAGCTGAGTTTTTTTTCCTGCGCCTCGTTTAATACCATACTGATTAATGTTCTCTGAAAGTGCAAGTGAGCGCAGTAAGAGAGCRTCTCCTTTGGTGACTTCTGAACTTCCAGAGGGAACGTCAACACGGAATGAGCTGTTCGCCCGTTTAGTGGTACTGTTTTCTGAAAGAGCCTCTCAAACAGAGAAAGAGACCAGAGAGAAGATAACAGCTAGGAAGGCAGAAGGAGGCAAATAAAAGCAGCATATTAATCTGACAGGTTTTATGTTGATTAGCACAACCTAAGTAATAACTCCCCCACCCCCAAAATGTATAAATGCCCCCACTCTGAAACTTGCAACTTAAAAATTGACTTTCAGGCACTGCTGTAGCTTAAATCAGTTTGTGTTGGTAATTGATTATTACAAAACATACATGGAATTATTGGAACTAATAGCGTACAGTATTCTAGTTGTAACATTGCTTTGTTAGGAGTTTTATTTTGAGACCAAATGTAAATGTAAAAAATATGTCTTTGCAGGCAGATGTCAAAAATAATGGAAATACGTAGAAAATGTGGAATTAAAAAAATATACAGTAWATCAGAACTTTTTTAGTAGAATTGGCTTCAGTGCCTAATTGTTACATGACTGTAAGACTGAAATATTTAAACAGCTTCACCCCTGATTGTTCAGGCCAAAGGAATAAAACATACAGGTATTGTTCTCCAGGACTTCTCAGCACCCCACAGGCGCCGAATACTAGATTTCTAATATGATCAATAATGAGAGTAATGGCGCATGCACCCTTGCTCTCAGCGCGACGCGTCGACCATAAACCCTGTAAGAACTGTTTGTTGAAATGAGAAACATCGTGAAGCAATCTGCAGAACTAGAGTACAACCAAAAGTACAGACCATTGCAGTAAGGAGTACATCCAACACAGATATCTCACAGTGAATTGTGTTCAAATCAGTGAGTTAGATGCAGATTAAAATGTTGAATCTTTCTGTGTTTTTTCTGCCCCTACCCATTTGTGTTGTTCTTTCTTAACACGTAATTTCTTATCCTGTATTTAAAAGCACAATTTTGATTAGATATTTTGTTACAGGGTGTTAACCCCCCCCAGAAAAAGCAAGTTAATAAAATCGATGTTAACATTCTATCCCTGAACTTTCCCACTCGTCACCTACGTTGTGTAACAAAAACCAAACAGTAGTAACGACAGCAGCCACTGTGCTCGAGTATTTAGAAATACATTTATTAAATTCACACGATGACATGATATTATTTTCATGTGCCCCCTTGTTTGCTACCATGGAAGACCCACACATAACTCAAAGATTGTTGCATAAGTATGATCTGGTCTCAGCGCACCACTTCTAACACTGTTCTAGTCTTTTATATTATATGAATTTAAGGTATCTGATATGTACCACAAGCAAGCAAAGTTTTAAATGGAAAGCATCATATGTGAATTAATTTATGCAAATTTTATTCTAACTTCTTATTGTCATTGTGACAATATTGCCTGAAAAAGCCAACAATTTACATAGTTAGTTATTTATTTTGTTTAATTACTTGTCTTTATAGGTGAGTAATATGGTCCAAATATTGTCTTCCAGTTGCTAATTTAAAAATTAAATGCCACTGAATTTGTTAAAGATCTTTTGCTTATACCTTGTTGGTTTACCAGCTTACTTCCAACATATATAATTAATATTAATATGTCTTAAATTGTAACAAGATTTAAAATGTATATAGACAAATTTGAGGTAATCTAGGAAAATAAAGTCTTCTTTTAAATGTGGTATTACATTGGGGACCATTTATTAAGTGCCTTTTAAATTTTTTTAAATAGGTCAAGTTCCTGCTTGATCTTTTTCATAAAGATGACTTAAACAAAACAGTCCAAGTTCCATACTGGCAACCAGTTMGCTTTTGTAAGTGTTTTTACATGAAACATCATACAATATGAAGATATGTTTTKAACATTTTGGTTGCTTTGCATTCATTTCATAAATATGTTACTCCTGTGCTTCAAATAGCAAAATACATTTTATATATTTACGTGGCCAGAAGTAGGAGAAACTTTGTGGAGTAGGTACAAGTTTGTCCAGCTCCCGTGAAGCCAGGAGAATCCCTTCTCCTCATCGGCGTCTCATTCCAGCTGTGAGTTATTTACAGCACCGTCTCACCCCTCCAGGACATTACGCCTTCCTGGCTTTGCCGGCGGGGTCTAAAGAGTCAACAAGGCGACTCCACATATTCGTTGTCCAGACGCGGGTGAAAAGGTGTTGTCAGTGAGCGGCTGATGATTATAACTCGAGGCGCTATGTCATCTCGCCGGTGTAGAATGTTCCAGATGAGCATGGCCGCGGCCACTGTAGCCAGCAGGCAGGCTGCTATGTCCACATAGCAGGAGTAGGACAGGTGCGTGTAGGGTCCGATTCTGTAGAAGGTCACGAGGCCAATCACCAGCACAAAACCTGCACAGGAGCACAAAGAAAACATGGACCCGTCGGTCAGAGGAAAGCTGTTACAGGAGTGACATGTGGGCAAACTATTATACAGAAATGGCAAATAATTAATTTAACATCTTTAACACTTCTTGTTRTGACATTTACACGAAGTGGACCTAGTTTCAGGAATCTAGATTGTTTGCCCTTTATCTCGCTGAATGTGATTGGCTTTTTTATGAGAAAATTATTATTTATAAAAATGGAGAAAGCTCAGCAGAGTGAAACTGACTATTTAAAGAAAAGAAAAAATCAAGATGCATAATGCCTCTTAGTAGTAGGAGTGCATCTCTTCTTCATTACCTCCGCCAAGGGCGAGGTAATGTTTTTGGTCGCGTGTGTCTGTCTGTCGTTCTGTCGTTCTGYCTGTGGACAACATTACTCAAAAACTTGTGGACAGATTGTCATGACATTTTTACCACATGTGAGTACTGGGCCAAGGAATACACCTTTAAATTTTGGTGATGTTCTGGATCACGATGCGGATACAGGAATTTTTTTCTTTTAACACTCTGAGATCGGCAAAGCTGTGATGCTTTCACAGGGCTTCTGTAAAAAACAGTGAGCTGGATTGGACAGCATGGACTTCAAACTTTATAAAAGTAATGTTAAAACCACATTTAATGATGAATAATTTTTGCCATAATATGCGCATTTACAGAACGTTTTGTGACCAGGAAGTGCATGACTGCACCATGAAACCTATTTTTCCCATTTCAGGATGGGAGAAATAGGTCTTGGCGGAGATTTGCACTCTCTGAGTGCTTCTAGTTATCAGATGTTATTTGCCAAAGGAGAATTTCCCCTAAATGTCCTGATGCACCTCAGT